GGGAAAGAGAGTTTTTAAATGACAATACCGAAAGACTTGCATAAGAATTCTCTTACATAAAAAGTCAGCATACATTACTATGGTAAAACATTAATTCCCGTTGAATAACAATGTAAAAAATCTATAAAACTGCATCTAAGTTTTTCCCTTACTAAAATACTTGAATCGTTACATCCTTCTCTATGTACAAGTCTTACCCTGTACAGAGCAGAGACTACTAGAGAGTAGAGAGTGCGTTAAAGGTTTAGAATTGAGGACATAGTTTATAGTGCTTGCAATTCTCCTAACATAATTCATGACATCTATGTGGCCCCGGCATGCATTTGGCCTTTGAGGCATGTACCGGACCTGACATAGGTAACTTTCAGCTGCTAAAAATAACATAGGAATGGGAGTGATTGTTTCCATTTTCCAATACTCTGAAATGTTGAACTTTTAATCTGCATTCTACTGAAGTTAACAAGTGCAAGTTCTCTTTGACAGTGCTGGGCTGTTCTTGAAATGCAAATGGGAAATATCAGGAGAGCAAGACAGTTGTTTGATGCTGCCACGGTTGCTGATAAGAGGCATGTTGCTGCTTGGCATGGATGGGCAGTTCTAGAATTAAAGCAGGGAAATATAAAGAAGGCAAGGGGTCTTCTTGCTAAAGGTCTCCAATATTGCGGACAGAATGAGTACATATACCAAACACTTGCACTGCTTGAAGCTAGAGCAAATAGATTTCAGCAGGCTCGATATTTATTCAATCAGGCCACTAAATGTAATCCTATTAGCTGTGCTAGTTGGCTTGTAAGTAATGATTATCCAAGGGATATTGTTTCTGAATTAAACTTTCATGCAATGCTTGTTATCTTATCAAATCATATTTATTCTTAAAATAGGGTTGGGCACAAATGGAGGTGGAACAGGGAAACTACCGTGCTGCTAGGAAATTGTTTGAGGTAATATTTAATATTACTAGCTATATCTTCTTTTAGTTGATCTGATTCCTTTGCTTGGTGGAACTTTGCAGATTATACACTCATTAAGAGTTAGGGCATATTTCTTTGCCATTTGCTTTTATTCAATTGTTGTCAACGCATGACTTATGTTTCTTTATTCTTTGTAATTTATAGAAAGCAGTACAGGCTAGTCCTAAAAATAGGTTTGCTTGGCATGTATGGGGTGTATTTGAAGCTAACATGGGCAACATTGACAAGGGAAGAAAACTTTTAAAGATAGGCCATACACTAAATCCGAGGGATGCTGTTCTACTTCAGTCTCTTGCTTTATTAGAATACCAACACACAACTGCAAACCTTGCTCGGGTTTTGTTCAGGAGAGCATCTGAATTGGATCCAAGGCACCAACCTGTTTGGTTTGTAAGAAATTTCTTCACTTGGATCTTATCTATCTTAGATATCATTACTCAAATTTTATTCCTTTTTATATGATCTGTTGTGGAGTAAGTTTGTCATGATGAGGAATTTGTGTCTTTCTACATTTTTACCTACATTATTCATGATGTAGTGATTTGCAGGAAGTAAGATATTTTAGAAACATTAAGATGGAACAAAATATGCCACTTTTGGTTTTTATAGATGATGCGTATTTATGATGGCATTCTCCTCACTGTACTCATCTGGTTCTGAATCCTGATTAATGTTTCGAAGAATATACTAATTGAACATGCAAGTTACTTTATCTTTTAGATTCAAAACACCATGTTGCGTAAATCATGATTTTTTGTTCATTGCATAATTTTGATTCCATATATGCATTTTATTTTTTTCATTTTGGTATGTAACTTCGTGGAAAAGAGAGTGTCTGACCAGAAAAAATTGGATACATGAAGGCTTGGGGTTGGATGGAATGGAAGGAAGGAAACTTGAATAAAGCTAGAGAATTATACCAAAAAACTTTATCAATTGATACAAACAGTGAAACTGCTGCCAGGTGTCTCCAGGTGACATGCATACATATGATAAATGTTGTGACAACTTAATCCTTTACGTAGCTTGAAGTTTAATTATTGTAACAACTTTTTTCTTATGCAGGCTTGGGGTGTTCTGGAGCAGAGGGTTGGCAATCTTTCAGCTGCTCGTAGATTATTTAAATCTTCTTTGAATATTAATTCTCAGAGTTACGTGACATGGATGACTTGGGCATCACTGGAGGAAGATCAAGGAAATTCTGTGCGTGCTGAAGAGATTCGTAACCTCTATTTCCAACAGGTAACAGTCCCAACTTGAGTGTTTATTGATGAGTTGAGATTTGTGAAAGAAGGTTATACATTAAAAGTGCAAAACAATTTTACACTTTTATCTAATCACAAATTATTATCTATAGGAAATTTGTTAACTTTACAATAATTATCTTAAAATTCATATCAACAACGACTTTTTATTGATTGATAGTTTAAAAATTTGTACATTGACCGTCCATAATTATTAAACCTTTATTTGAAATGATTTGTTGCATACTACAGCGCACTGAAGTTGTAGATGATGCTTCATGGGTTATGGGATTCTTAGATATTTTAGACCCAGCCATTGACACTTTAAAGAGACTCCTCAAGCTGAACCCAAATTCGTACAACATGCCACTGGATTCTTTGAGAAATCTTGCCGGAACAAATAAAAACAGAGCTGATTTTTCTAGTGACGAGGAGGAGGAGGAGGGTGATACAAATGATGAAAGTGACTTTGATGTGGATGCTTTCATTATGGAAAGGCTATCCTTAGATTCGTCCAATCTAGAAGTTCAGTTGGAAAAACCAAAATTTTCTTCCGTGAAGAGAAGTATTTCTCCTAGAAGGATATGGCGATCAAATACTAGATTAGCCAAAGTGACTATAATGTAGTTTAGGATGGGGCCTTGAGCTATATATTGGTGTATTGTAAAAAATGTTTTGAATAGTATGACCGTGGCATGAGAGGTATCTTGCCTTCTACTGAACACAGCATTGTAAGAAATATTTTTTAATGAAAAGAAAATATACCAAATGACTGACAACATTGCTTTTGCCTCAGAGGAAAAAGGTTACTCTTCCAAGGTCAGCAATTCACTTTTTAATTTATAAGTTATGATTATGATGCACTTTGAATGAAATCAACAGTGATTCCTTTTACTTAGACTTTAATTATAGACAATGTCACTTTAGAATAGTCTTATGATGTGTTTGGATGAAGAATTTTACAAATTCAAGGAATTTTAAATTTTTGGTATTTGAATTACTTTGATTTTAATTTCTATCATTCTTAAAATATTTTGTTTGAATAAGTCAATTCAAATTTATTAAATTTTAAATTTATGGGTTAAATATGATAATTTGATTCTACCATGATAAATTTGATTTTAAAAATATACTTATATGTTGAGATTCTTAAATTAAATTTTATAAAATTAAATATTAACTAATTTTTAAATATTTAATAATTTTAAAATTTAATATTAGATAATATTTAATAATTTTAAAAATATTTTTAAATATTCAGTAATTAAAAATATGAAGAGATATGAGATAAGATAAAATATATAAGTGAAATATGAAGAAAAAAAATATGAGGAATTTCAAATTCTTACTTTTTTGGGAGAATTTGAAATTCTACTATTTCAAGGAATTTCACAAATGCTTGAATTTCAAATTCTTTATAAATTCTCCATCCAAACAAGGTATTTCACCTCAAAGAATTTGAAATTCTTCAAATAAATGAATTACTCCATTTAAATTCTCCATCCAAACACACTATTAGAATGTGCATATGCTTTAGAATGTGTATCCATGAACGTAATGAAAAGTGAGAACTAACCAGTTCACTGCCAAAGAAAAATGGAGTATAAGGCAGTTCCAGAGTTACCGATTAACATTCGGTTCCCTATTCTGATGAAATTAAAAGCCACCTAGTACAAGATTCAGCAAGAAAAGAGGAAAAAAAAAATGTTAATGATATTGATGTGTTATTGTACAGTCAAGAAAACTTCTATCCTTTTTTTTTTCAGGCTTTCAATTGATTTGTGAAGTTTAAATTAACCCGCCAAAATAAAATCTCGAACCTTTACCGAGTAGGAAGCCTCGATTAAAATTTGCAGCTTAGTTTGATAGTGTTATTTTATTATAACATCAATAGAATAAGATAATAGTCTTATTATATCATATATACTGAAGAAATACAGTTTTATTTTAAGCAAAATAGGTTAAATATGAAAGTAAATACTACAAAGATTGGCGGAGAAATGCATTGCATATATAGAATAAAAAGACATACGCTGTTTTCATCAACTTGGGAATGTCAAAAAGGTATTGTAACATATTTGGAAAAGAGAAAAAAAGTCATATTATCTATATTTGATCAATTGAAGATATGAGTGATGAGGTCACAGCTAGTGCGAGAATACATAGCATGGTCACATAAACCTTTGGAAATTGATAATTGGTGAGAAAGTTTACAATACAAAAATCATGAAACATACATGTTATTTTATTGGAGAAAGATCTATATTTACTCTTTCCCTTGATTGCTCATGTGTATTTTTATTGGCCGATATTGAACACATGAAGAATTGGTCCCACAATATTATGCATGTTATACATAAATAATAATTAATATAATCCTAGTTCAAGATGACTTCTACCGTGGTTTAGTATATTTGCATGTTATAACAGGAGTCCATGATCCATTATTAGCCACCTGTTATAACGAGTTTCTTTTTATTAAAAATTAATTAATAACCTCTTTATCTTGAATATTCTTAATCAAATTAAACAAAAATACATTGAATATTCATACATAAAAAAACCCTGTGCTGTTCTCTCTGCTTATGATGCACTTGAATTCTGAATTCTGAAGCTCGAGTTTTAATTATTGTTTCATTTCTGTTATACAATTAATTTTATTAATTTACACTGTATTACGAGTAAACAAACAAATAAAGTACACAAAAAAGACACTGTATTATGTACTTTGTTTAACATCTAAATATTTTATTTGTAGTGTAGTTTATTTTAATTAGAGTTTCTTAAAATGTTAATATGATAAGATGTTAACTTCTGATTCAGGGTGCATTATAAGAGTTTATTTAAACTTATACCAGAAACATTTAAAATTTGCACATGTGGTTGAAAGAATTTATGAAAATACGTGTATAAATTACTTTTAATTTAATTCAATAAACCCTTTGGATATAACTTCTAAAACAATTTTTAGCTTATATCAAAATAATTTAAGTTTGTTTTTTTATTTGATTATAAATATAACTTATATACAAGTACTTCACTACAATAAAATGTGTTTTTAACAATATTTAGAAGTGTTGTAAAATTATGAACAAATGTTACTAATATACCTCTAGACATTTTATCAAATGTAATAAAAACCTATGTTACTAAATTTTTTAATAACATTTTTATATATTAATGATAATATTTTAAAAAAAAAATGTTACCAAAAGTAGTATTTTATAATATTTTAATAATATTGTCAAGTTTTTGTAAGCTAGATATATAAAATAATAGTTAATATTAATATACATTGCACCACTACTTATATATACTTTGACTCTTGTTTATAAGTCTTTTAAAACTTAAGATATCTTAAGTTTATTTATTTATTTATTATTATTAGAGAAGATATCCCAAGCTAGTTATCACATGTCAAAATTTTTTTATCTTAAGTTTTATTTTATAGTTATATATATTTTTTATGCGTCATCCTTTTACCAAGGCTTTAATTTTAGAAAATAATTAAATATTTATAAAAAATATTTTTTATATATCATTTTTTTATTTGAGACTTAATTTTGGAAAATAATTAGAAATAAAATTATTGAGATAAAAATGTTATTTTATTTATAATAACATTTTCTTTTAAAAAAATATTGTAATAATCTATTAATTTAATCTATAATAATATTTTAATAAATATAAATAAACAAATATTATTAAAGATGATAAATGTAGTAGTATTTATATTATCCTAGTGTATTAGTAAGTATATTTAATTAAGTTGTTTATCATCTTCTTGATTAAAAATAAAAACTATGCTTGAGTATACAACATATGTAAAGAATAATAATTATATACATACATCAGAAAAATTTTGTCTCTTTTAATTCTCATACTTATTTTTTCTTTTCTCATCAGTCATCTCACGATCACATTTATCAAAAAAAATTCCTTACTTAATTTTCCTTTTTTTCTTCTAATCTCTTTCTCTACCACTCAAATCGGCCACCCCAGAAGGATGAATGTCTATACTTTTCCTTATTCTTATGCAAATAGTTCTCTCAATGGATCTGACGCCTTGAACCACTACATTAGCATCTTTACAGCAAATTCCATGCCAGCTGGTTTGAATTAGTGTCTTTGCACCAAAATATTAGGTAAGCAAATCGCACCCTATATATGCCATACGTTATATATGTTAATTCGATATTAAAAGGTTGAATTTCAGCAATATTAATTAACTTACTTCAGGAAAACCGAAATAATTATACAATAATTAAAAGTAAAAAAACTGTTCTTTAATATAAACGGGAAACTGGGTGTTTGCTATAAGTTCAGCTATTAACCTTGTGAAGATAAAAGAGAGAAGGATTCTATTTGAAAATTTGTATCATAAATTCGAAGGAAAGCATGCATGTAGGTATTTCGATATTTTCTTTTTAAATTCAGTCAGTAATTAAATAACAAATAACTATTTATAAGTCCACATTTTGAGATATAAAAATGTTGCAGCGATGATTCGTCAATCTGGATTTGAGAAGGAAAAGACCGAAAAGTAAAACTAAAAAGGACATAAATTGATGTTAATCATAAACATGTAGTCCTTCAGCTAAGAGATAATTTAAAGTCAATGGTATACATAATTCTCAATATGCTGAGATCATGATGCTATAATAAGCCGCATAGATCAACAAAAGTAGCCGTGAAGTTTATATATACCTAAAAATCCCTAGGGTCAACAAAGACATTCCCGATTTGTCTCTTCATCAGCAGTTCATCATCCTTTTCGTCACTGTTGCTTGAAAGTCTTTTTGTGAACCAAATATCATCGATACACGACATAGAAGCTGTTTGAGGGACATGGTTTACAAGTGGATCCCCAAACCCTAACTCAGTTATAACCACTCTGCAGTCCCTCAAACTTTCTCCCAACCTTGATGTGAACCTCCATATGGATTCCATTAGCTCCCCAAGGTTCTCTCCCTCCCCATGGAGCCCATAGAGAAAAAGAAAACCAAAGGGTCTACAAAATGAGTCACTCACCGACATTCTCAGACAAGGGAAAATTTTGTCTCTTGCATGATTTAAAGTTGTGTGAAGAAACCTAAGTGGCTGAGACTTTTTAAGTTGAAGCTTATAAGCTTCACAAGTGTTCCATATGCTGAAGATGATCCACGAGCTTGTGATTTCATTGGTGATTAGGTCTTCATGACTCTCTACCTGCAAGTTGAGCCAGCCTTCATCTTTGTAATAACTTACCCAGGTTCCCAAGCTGAGGTTCTCCTTCAAAATAGCGTCCATGTCTAATGGATACAACTCTTTGGCCATCAGGGTTCTTCTGTATAAGGAAATTGCCTGGTCCATGTTTACCTTCTCAATTTTTATGTCCTTGGAAATATGCTTTGAAGGAAAACTAATTGGATGGAGAAATATGACAAGTGAGCTGAGGCTCACATATTTGCATTTGTTGGTAAACAGGTTTCTTGAGGCATCATTGTTCTTTTCGGTGGCTAGGCATGCGTATTCAGCCCCATTTCTTAGCATCCATTCTTCAACTGAGGTGACAAGTTTTAGTCCAACCCCCTTTCTCCTGCATAGATTAGTAAATGTTCAATGGTATCATTATATATAACACTGACTATATTGCAATCTGAATCAAGTTCAAGATTTACATCCCGTTAAATTAAAGAAATCAATTTTTTTATGCATAGAAATTACAATAAAAATGATAACAAGATTCGATCGAACCTTCTATATATATACTATTTTAACCTCATTATTTGTGTACATTATAGTATTACCTGTGT